ATAAAAGTTTTTAATTTTATTAACAAATATTTTTTATTTTTAGCTTAAAAAATAGCTAAAATTCTCTAATTTAAAATATATTTTTTTTTAGAATTTTCAAATTTTTTATTGGTAACTTGGTCAATTAATTTTTATTAATTATTAATTAATAAAAATTAATTGATTTTATATGTAATTAGATAAGTTATAATATTAAACTAGAAAACTTAAGCTATTTTTTGAGTTAAAAATAAAAAATATTTGTTAGTAAAATTAAAAACTTTTATATGTAAGAAAAATTATATATTTTATTAATTAAAAAATTTAAGTATTATATTATTTTTAATTGCTACTATATATAAAAGTTTTTAATTTTATTAATAAATATTTTTTATTTTTAGCTCAAAAATAATTAAAATTTTCAGATTTTTACTAGAAATTTATTTATATTATATATAAAGATAATTAATTTTTATTAATTAATAATTAATAAAATTAATTGACTTTATATATAATATTAATAAGTTTTTAATAAAAAATCTGAAAAATTTGAAAAAAATAATATTAAACTAGAAAATTTTAACTATTTTTTTAGCCAAAAATAAAAATTTTTATTAGTAAATTAAAATTTTTATATTTAAAAAAATATATATTTTATTAAATATAATTAATAAAAAATAAAAAATTTAAATATTATATTAATTATAATTTTTATTATATAATTAAATCTTTTTATAATTATTATACTTAAAAAATAAAATTAAATAATTATAAAAAAGATATAATTATAAAAAAATTTTTTTAATTATAATTAATTAATAATTAAAAAGAATAATTATAAAAACTTTAATTATAAGAAATATAATTATGAAAAAATCAAATTATATTTTCAAGATTTTTATATTATAATTTTTATAAATATATATTTATATATATACTAATTTTTTTATATTTATAAATTATTATTTTAATATATATTAATTAATTATATAATATTTTATTCAAAAATATTATAATTATTAATATTTTTTTATTATTAAATATTTTAGAAACTAGATTAAAATATCTTAAATAAAAAAGTTTTATAATATTATTTAATTAAAAATAGTTTTATTCTGTATTTTATTTTTATTATATTAATAAGCTAGTTTTGATAATTAATTTTATATATAATTATATTTACTTTTATTCTTAATAAAAATGATTAGTATTATAAATTTTAATACAAATATAATTTAATTTTATATTATAAAAATATAATATATTAATAATTTTATCAAATAATAAGCAAGTATAAAATAAGAATAAGATAAAAAAAACTGAATTATTTTAAGATAGATTTAATAATTAAGAATTATATATTATAATAGAAGAATTTTATTATTTATAAAATTATATAGAATAAGTATATATTTTTATATTAATTCAAATATTTAATTTCATAGATTCTAAATTTAGAATTGCTAAATTTAAGTTCTTTAAATTTATTATTTTATCAAAAATATATAATATTGATAATTTTTTTAAGAATTTATTATATTTTAACAAAAAGTATTTCTTTTGAAATTTTACTATATAAAATTATACTTGTAATATATAATATAATCCTAATTTTAGCTTTAATTCTAATCTTAATAAAAATATTATTAATATTTTGTATTTAAAACTCTATCTTCTTAAGCTTTATTTCAATATCTAAAGATTTAAGAAATTCTTTATCATTAAGTTTGAGTTTGAGAGCATTTCAGTTAACAATATTTAATACTTTCTTAAGCTTCTCATATGATATGAAATATTATATGATTTGATTGGTTTTTTATCATGACTAAAATACTATATCTTTTAGTATTTTGGACGACATTGATTTATACTTCTACTCCTGATAGAATAGAATAAAAAATTATAAAAAGTCCTGGAAGCTTTTTATCTGTGCAGTGATATTAACTGATTTCTGAAAGAAAACAGTAACAATTTGAATGTTCTTATTTGCTATAATATAACTTTGAATGCATATTAATGTACTTTAACTACAAAATTAATGATTTTCTTTTTTTCAAGATTATTTTAGCATCAAAAATTCTTGACATGATTGTATAATGGCTTTACCAGACAATGACTATAATAATAGAAAATATGAGCTAAATTCAATTTAGATCAATAAAGCAAGGAAATGACAAGAGTACCTTTAACTAACCATTTTACGTAATTATCACGTATCGATAACAGAAGGGAAAGTATCTTGTTTATATTCTTGAGTAATTTCATAGGCGGAATTGCCATTTTTCAGTTTTTTGAATTTTTCCATTACACATTGATCACTTGTAATGAAAAAATAATTTAACGACGCGTAAAATTTGGTATTTGAATGTTTATGGAAAAAAGCTGAGATTTTCAATCACATGAATAAAACAATTTGAGACTGCAGATCACTCCATAATATCTTCCGGATTTCCGTAAAAGTCTCAAGCCTACACTACGATATTTGACTGGTTTTGAGGATGAAAAATTTATCCTCCTCCTCTTCCTCTAAATTGCCTAAAGGAACTACGATATTTAAAAAAACGCAACTTTTATTCATCAGGGAGAAATAAGTTCTCGCACGTCACTTCGACTCTTAGTCGATGTGGTAGTGCGTCTCAGTCTGGGAGCTGATTGCTCCAAGGGTGGGATTAAATTGGCATTTGCATGGAGACGTAATTGTGATTATGTGATTACAAACATTCTGAAAAATGTAGTTACGTACTATATTTGGAGGGGTGTAGTTTCTTCCGAATTCTGTCGGTTACTCTAACTGTTCAATTTTATTAATTTTCTGTAACCACTTTTTTAGAATAACAATATATAACTTTATACGGTAAATCTTGGTGAATTTTTTACTCGTTACTGCGCCTATGACATGCCAATCAACGATCAACTATTTTTATTTCAAAGCAAAAAATATATTATATATATATTAAACACTTATCCACGATTTAGATATTAAGATTTTAAACGCGTGATTAATGAAAAATTCGAGACTTTGAGGAATGGCGATTTCTGTTTCTCATCATACCATACCTCGAGAAGAAAAAATTTCCGTTATCTTGACATATGAAATCTTTTTAGCCGATCATGATTAACAATGTTTTCAAGTTTTTTAATATGGTTGTAGTAAATGTAATTTTTGTCAAGAAGAAATTGAAATTGTAAAATCAGTTAACATTAATATTATCTTCAATTTCGTGTGATATACTCAAAATAAAAATAAAGAAATTAATGAATCAAAGAAATTGATAAAAATAATATCAAATGTAATTTTTTACCTTCATTTGGAACATATAAACTAACGGTTGTAGAACCTAAATATTCGATATATTTAAATCAATCTAAAAATACCATTTATTGAATAAAATAAGCGTACGGACCTCCTTCAGTATATTGATTCTGAAGTAAATATTCGACTGGTATAAACGGCATTTTGTTTTTGTTCACATTCATAGTAATACTTTTTTGATGTTTAATTTTATCAAATTGCTGTCTTTCTAGTCTAACACACTCTTTAATTACTTCTATTTTAGCATATTCTAAAGAACTATAGTACTGAAAATGCCAAGTATTCAATTTCCAATAATCTTCATTGTCAAAGTAGATAGTGTAAATAAAGTCTCTTAGTTTCTCAGCAGTTGCTCTGTTTTCTGAAATATAAATTTGCACCATCCGGGAATATTATTTGGTATCGAACTCCTTTATTATAAATGTCTAATTAGAGATGTATATCATGACTTCGATCACAAAATGGTCTTTCACCATTTACAATTTCGTATGCAATCATTCCAAAGCTGTATGGCATTTCATTTAACACCTCTGGGACTCGTATAAGTAACGCCATAAATTTCTTGCTTATATTTGTTGCAAGTCCAAAATCTGCGTTCGATCTAATAATAATAATATATTTCCAGGTTGAAAGTCACGATGTACAAACTTTTCTTCGTGAATTTATGTTAGATATTAGATAAATAACTTACTGTATGATTCCAAGTCAATGTTTCGTAGTTGAAATTCTGGTATGGTTGGTTAATTCGACGATAAAAAAAAGGCATGCATACAATTTCGAAATTACTCTTATAGCTGTGTAGAATCGACATATAAATTGAATTTTTATTTTATCCTTGCAGTGTTTGCGAACCAAATGCAATTCATATATACTTCGTTTTAGCATAATCAAAATTTTTTATTCTGCTAAGGCGAGTCCTTATCTATAAAATATCGTTGCCAACATTCTATATTACTCAATGCACGCACGAATTAACTAACAGAAGCATCTTGTGGCATTCAAATAATTATTTTGCTAATTTCTTTTCTCCTCAATATAACGAAACGGTTGGAATATCAGCAAATTCGGCGAATTTATAACTTTCTGAATTTATCTTTTTATTATAATAAAGCCGTAACTATGCGGCAAAGTTATTGAAAAGGGTATAAATAGAAGTGGTGAATGCCCCAATCATCCGATTTTTTTTAAAGTATATTAATTCATAATTGTTTTAAAAAATGTAAAATTATTGATATGGGGTATAATCATGTGTTTTTTTAGGGAGGATGAAAAATCAATACACGGATGTGAAAGTTTTAGATGTCTCAGATTTATTATTAACTCTTGTTTGACATCCTGATTGCATAGATAGAATTATTTCGTGTACAATAAAAAATTAGATAAAAATTTCTTGATTATCACATAAATTTCGGTAATAACTAATGGTTTATTGATTTAATTTTCACAACCAGCAAAAATTAATACGGTTGACTAACATGATAGGTAATGATTAAATAATTTAAATAATAATAAATTGTAACAATGAAAATAATATTAATGAGGATAATGCGAGAATAAAAGTACAGATAGAAATTGCTAAAAAAAAGATTGTTTCTTTTAAAGAATGAAAGAATGAGAGAAGAGCGAGGTGTAAGAAAGGACGAATTGGTAGAGTATGAAATAAGAGTGAGGTATAAAGAAAGGACGAATTGGTAGAGTATTAATCAGATTAATCAGTTAGGTAATTCTGTTCTTCTTGTTCAACCCAGCGATCATCTCGAGTACTATGGGGCTTTTCGGATAAATTCATTCTAAATCCATAAGGATTTTCATCGTCAAAAGTGTCATCACGTGTTATTTTACGGTCACCGAGACCAAATGCATTACCAGGCGTGTACGGAGGTGGTGAATCTGTCTGTACTACGACGACTTCAGTTGTTGGTGGTGGTAGTGGTAGTTGTTGTGGTTGTGGTAGTAATGATGGTAACATTGTGTGTGATAATTGTGGTGATTGATGATCTGATTGATTATGTTGTGATTGCGGTGATGGTGGAGATGGTGGTGGTTGTTGATTATTTGGTTCTGTTAATTGTGGTAGTAATGACAGTGGTGGTGGTGGAGGGAATGGCCCGGGATGCGGTGGAAATAAAATCTGAACTGCCGGTGGAGGTCCTATTACATTACCAGTCGTTGTGTTTTGATTTGATATCAATGGTGGTGCTGTTGGTGGAGGCTGAGTTAGCGTAAATGAACCCGGTGGTGGTATTATTGGTGGTGGTGATGCTTTGGTTTGACGTGCTATTTAACAGAAACGATAAATTTAATAATATTCCATCTGTTTTCGGAATCTTCTTCTTCTTATTATTAAAAAATCTCACCTTTAGTTTTACAAGTCATAGAACAATATAAAGAGCTTTGGTAACAAGGTTTAGAATGGCATTGTTGGCAAACAGAACCTAATAGCAGCAATCATCACATTTATAAGTATAAAATAAATTATGAAAATACACGCCATTTATAAAGGAAAATTTACATACGAGATCTCCCGCGCGCATTTACCACATCTTCATTTTTACACGTTTTCCCGCAATAGTTTGTTCGTATGCCATTTTTTAATGCTCGTGGCATTATTCCACAATTTATACAGGGTTCGATCATGCCTAATTTATATTATGAGGAATTTGCAGAATTGGTTAGAGAACTTGTTTCAAGTTCTAAAATGTGGCGAATAACCATTTTTTTGTTATTTTCCGATACGAAACGAAACAAAAAGAAAAAAAAGATTACAGTACCTCTTTCAACAGCTGTCTTCCTACACTTATTTGAACAAAACTCGGCTACTTCTCCAGATAATGTGTCTATGTAAGCTGGAAAATTGTGACATGCTCCACAAAGTTTGGTCGCCATTTCGATTCTCACTCAGCAACCTTCAAAATTACTTTTTTACTTTGCTCAAAAAAATTGAACCACGATAGTTATCGTTATAGAATGCTGATAAATTCTATTTTTAGTCTCGGAGTACAAATTTTCAGTGCATACAAAGATCTTTGTTGACGAAATTTCATATGTTAAATTAATTTTATAATGCCATTACCTCCCAGGAAAAAGCAAATAAGTTTAGTTCATTTATTTGACGATCTAGAATCTTCAGAAGAAGAGCAGGAGGATGGACGAGTAATTGTAGGAGACACCTGGAAATCATTTCCCAAGGAAGAAGAAAACGAAGCACCAAAAGCTTTGGTCTTGACACGACAAAATTGCTCTTGTGCAGACTGTGAGAAAGGTTGGTTTGTTTCTAGAAAAATGTACCGGTGTTTGCACCGAATATATGCTTAATGAATATTTAATAAATTCGAGCTATGAAAACTCGAAAACTTCAGTTAATTAGACTGACATTTTGTGTATACGCATTCATGCCTTCAAACAACAGTAATTTCTCCCGAGTATAGACCGGATTTTGAACCATTGAAAAAGATATTTAATTCAGAAAAATTACTTCGTCATGCGGCAATGTTTGCTGGAACACGTAAAATAACGGAAAAAATTATTGATCATTTCCATAACACATGGGGTCATCCTCTGCATATGGGTGTGAGTGAGCCTACCATATATGAAAATATTCATTTCTTTATTTGTTAATTAATTTAATTTATTGTCTCAAGTGCCCTGATGTACAATACGTGACGTTTATGAAATGTGATAAAAAATTATGTCAACGATGGGACGAATACATATCAGAATTGGCGCTCTTTTGTAGTAATAATAATCCCAACGTAAAGGCATTATGGCATGGCACGAGCGTAAGATGCAATATCGAGAAAGCACAAGGACCATGTAACCCGTCATCAAAAGAGAGCTGTGCTTCTTGTAATATTTTGACTAGTGGATTCGATATAAGTAAAAGTGGAACGGCTAACTCTTTTAAAAGGTAAGGTAATATTATATTATTATACTCGTAAGTTATTTGAATTAACTCGTTACTTTTTTTTTTAGATTTGGGACAGGTATTTATTTCGCTTCCAATTCTTCAAAAGCGCATAGCTATGCGACACCACGTGGGAATGACGATACTTATACGATTCTTTTTTGTTTTGTGGCATTGGGAAGGTAAAGGAGATCGAAATGCTCTACCTTTATTTCTTAATTTGGAATCTAATTTTGGTTTCTTTCTAGGTGTCACTCTACAGAGAACGATCAACCATATCTTACAGGTACCAATAATTATGATGATGATGCTATTTTTTATTCTTTGTTCGCAAATGTTTCGAATCTCAAGAAATTAATAAATGAACATTTTAGAACCACCATATCCATGTCACTCGGTACACGGAATCGTTGGGTCCCGATTAAATTTCGAGGAGTTTGTCGTGTATAGAGGCGATGCAGTGATTCCGTTCGCTGCTGTCAGTTATAGAATGAAAAATGTAAATGAATTTGTCCGGAAATGACTAGATAGACAAATACAAAAGGAACA